CACAAAGCAGCAGCTCCGCGGCTGCTCCGTACCAAAATAAAATAAAAAAACAAAGGCTCCTAAAGTGTCACCGCGGCGCCTCTTTAGCAGCTGTGCCGCCCACAGCCGCTAAGTCCGGCACCTCCGAGCGGCCACTCCGGCTCCGAAAAACACTCAGCCCCTTAAAAGAGTTTACCAATGTTTCTACTTAAAGATAAATATAAGAACAAAATGCAAACCTGGAACCACTTGGCGTGGCGCAGAGACGCCAAGGCAGCAAGGCATTTCTGCCTGTCCAGAACGTCCGGGGAGTCGGTGACTGAGAGCGTTTCTAGTCGTGGATGGAATAAGAAGACAAGGCACGGTTTGACCAAGGGGCTTCTGTCGGGCCGAGGGGGAGGAGGCAGCATCCTAACGGGCAGCTGAGGCTCCCCAAGAATCCTGCCGGGATGCCGGGAGCGGGAGGGGAGGAAGGGGCTGCGGCGTCGCCGCCGCGCGGCCTCGCCCGGGGGGGGCGGCTGCAGAGAGGGGGGGGAAGCTCAGTTCCCAGGGATGGATGGGCTCTGGGAAGAGGAGGAGGAGGAGGAGGCAGGAGGAAGAGGAGGAGAAGAAAGAGGAGGAGAAGGTAGGAGGAGGAGGAGCGAGAGGCTCGGTGGAGGGGACAGAGATCCCTGCCGGATGGAGAGGCGGCAGCGAGGCCGGGAGGGGTCACCGGGGGGGAATTTAAGGTGCGTGACCCCCGGCTCTGCGCCCGGAGCGTGGGCGGGAGGGGAGGGGATCCAGGGAACCCTCCGCCCGGAAGGATGGCTGCCCCGGCCCCGGCCCGCGACAGAGAACGTCCTGTTGGTCAAAGGTCCAGCGTCCCTAAAATCGACAAACTAGAAGGCTCGGAGACGAGGTCAGAGATCAACACCAGAGATCAACAGTCAAGAGCACAACGAGGGCCCCGGTCTGTGCTGCAGCAAAACTGAGGAAGGGCCTGAAAGTCGCCCGAAGCTGCTGGAGATCAGGGTTTTAGATAAGGCTAGTGCGGAGCGGGGGACCCGCCGGCCCTACGGAGCCCATCGGAATCGGAGCGAACAACCGGCGGCTGCCCGGGAATTGTTGACCCCAAAGGGAATTTGGAGGAGCTAACTTTATCCAAAACTCTGCATCGCTTTCCGGAGAACTGAACCTGAGGTGCTGGGAGAGCCGCGGGAGGGGCCCCGAGCACACCCGTGGTTCTGCTGCAACACACACCGGGGGGACATCCCGGAACATCCCCGGTTCATGGACATGCAACTCCTCGGACAAGAAGCCTTCGAGAGGGTGGTGGTGGTTTTTTTTTTGG